CCTCCCCCCCCATCCCCTTTATTTATATGGAATGATCTTTGAAGCTTGGTTGCCAGGCTAAACTGACCCTTGGCAGCCCTAAGGCAGTGCTGGTTCAACATCCTCCCAGCTCCTGCCTTCCCTGAGAACCCATCAAGATCTTTGCATTTCAGACAGTCCTTGAAACAACATTCTTCAAGCTGATGCTGACTGGATCTGCTATATGAACTTTGGAGTCAGAAAGTGTGGCAAGGAACCAGTAGCTTACCCAAGGCCCAGCTTTTCAGAGCTACATTGTAACCTTGGGTTTATCTCATTTCAAGCTAGAAGTGCTAAACAATTTTGAAAGCACAGCTAAACTCACAGCTGGTGAACTTCCTGGGAGAATTCTAGTCCCACATTTACTATGGCACACCTCAGACATAAAAACCTCGTTACCATTCACTAAAACTACATTCCTTCTAGAAAACACACAAATTCATTAAAAATTGTAGCTTTGAAGGCCAAGAGAAAGCTAAGTGAGAAGAAAATAAATGGTTTACCTCCAACTTTAATCCAAACTTCCTCAGGCAAAGTTCTATTCATAGCACCCACTGTCTGCTTTGTGGATTCAATTTCCTGATAGCAGAAGGATAATGCCTTGGGTATGCCAAGGTCTTGATGTCTGGCAGCTTCCAAAATAGTGCAAGGTGTTGCAGAGGCCTGTGAAAACCAAAAAGGAAGTACTTGCAGGACTATATAGACAAAAAGAGACTATTTTGGTATCTTCATATTAACTTCTAAAGTTGCAGCCCTGTGATTTAATGTGTTGCATCAGAATAAGTCCCAATTACTTCTGCAAACCACAACCAGAGGGATTTTAACTGACTGTTGGATTTTTTGGGGATACCCCTGACATTTCCAAGTGCCATGCTATCAGTCTTGCTTCAGAGGTGACTAAGAGTTGGGGGTAAAAAAGATCTTTTTCATCAAAATTAATTAGAATAAAAAGGAACCATGGAAAATGGTACAAAGTCTCTCCATCCTGTCTTGCATAGATGAAGCTGATACACTGATAAACTCAAGAAAAAAACCTTTCTAGCAGGAGATCTAAAGGCATACTGATCATTACCTGGATGCACATTATTACAAAGGTCACAATATTAACTGGAGTGTCTTTGATGGTCTTAAAAATAAGAATTACAATAAATAAATTGCATGGCAGATAATTCTGATCATCCCTATTGAAGCCAAGTCACATTTTAACACAAACCCTTAAGAACTGTATTACACCCAAGAGTTTAAAATTATTAGCATTTCAAATGAGCAGAGTGCAAGCAGTGGTGAATACATTATCTACCTGTGCTTGTAAAGGATTAGCACTCCCAGCAGTGGAACACGTGTTCATAGTTAATAAGGGGTATGCAAACTGCAAAGCAGGGGTGGCAGCTGCAGTCTTATTTTTTGTTAACACAGCACACTTGTTTTCTTGCTGATGAAGAGGAACACCTATCAGTTCTGACGGCTGTCGAATCAACGTTACTAAACTTAAAAAAACAACAACAAGAAAAAACAAACAAACACACAACACAGAAAACATACCAGACTGACTACTTGAAAATGAGCACAGAAGAATTTACAGCTACACATAATTCTAGTAACTATCACCAAGAAAACACTTTCATTTACTGTAAGCAGAAATTGTCATCTTGACTAATTCAGGGATAAAAAAAAAAAAAATAAATCAGCTCAGAAGGTATTTTACTCTCTGCAGTAACAATTCAGTTTTATGCCTCCACAGAATGTTTTATCAGCACTCTAATACAGCCACAAGGTTGGACTGTAAAACAGTGTTTTTGCTCAAAGCTTTCCCCATAGTCAGGCTTCCACATTGTAACACTAATCAATCTTAAAATGTTAATTACGATCAAAACTCTACTTTGCTTTTAGCAAGTTGCACGTTAAAACGAGGTAATGCTTTTCTCTCACCTTTATTTATATTGCACGTTATCAAGAATAAAGTTGTAAAGTAATGAACTTTGGAACTACAAGCTGTACCATTTATGCAATATACAGCGGGGCCTAATCTGAGCGGAGCTGCAGCCACATTTGAGCGGCACAGTTTAAAAAAGCCCAACCCAGTATGTAAGAAAATCAGTTTTGAGCTACGCGATGATACATAATTTAACATAAACTAAAATTAATTGCAACACACTTGTTACGAGTTACTCCAGATTCTTGGGGATCTTGACATCTGGGGTTTTCTGTCTGGATGCTGTTGAATCTGTCTTCCAACCGAACTCTGACTGCAGATTTAGATCTAGGCTCTGGCGCCAGTGCCGAATTTTCAACAAGTATGTTTCCTTTATTCGCCCCAGCAAAATTTTCATCATGTTTAACTTTTACTAAACTGTGTCCTGGGACTTCTACAGAGCTACTGTTAGGTGCTTTATCTGTTTGGAGGTTAGACTCGCCAAGTAACAACATTCTGAGCTCCTGAATGTCAGCATAGCCCAAACGTGGGTTTGAACTTCGCAAACTGCTGTCAGAAGGTACTCCTGCCTGACAGGTAACTGGGTAAACCGACTGGTTCCCAGAGCTGTTTGATGAACACCCCTCCTGACTGGTGTTCTGTGAGGTCTGGTGCACAGAGGGGTCTGCAGAATTACCAGGTGCAGAGAAAGAACTGAGCCTGGCTTCCACTTCACCTTCACTAGCTTGTGCCTCCGTGTGTGAGTAAAGCATGCGCTGCAGCTGGCTATACTCAATTTCCATCATCTCCACAAGGCTGACGTCTGTGGTGGTGAAGCTAAGATTTTGCTCACCAAAGGAAACGTCACTTGAGCCTCCAGGTCCAACAGCAACGGGAGCGGGATCAGGAACACTAGCTGTGCTCTGAGGGTTGGAGGTCTGAGGCTCCCCTGGGGCTGATCCTGACATGACTACAGTAACCCTAGTCAGTTACCACTGCCACTTTCAACAGTAAAACACACAACCTGCAAGAATTATCAGCGACACACGTTAAAGAGGGGGGG